TCCTAGGCCACCAGGGACTCCTCATGGGCCATACTCTTATCTAGTCTTTCTGGAGTCCCCTCCCAGACCAGGTCAGGCTGCCCCCACCCTGACCAGCTTTCCAGAAGCCGGTCCGGGGCTGACCCAGATGGATTAGTATGCACAGGTCACGGTGTAGTTATTAGATTGCTATCAGTCTCTCTAGCAGGGGAGCTCTGCCAGGCCGGGACCAGCTCTGCTGGGGGTCCTGGCACAGAGTTGGTGCCCATTATGATCTGCCAGGTGGGTGAATGTGTCCTATATTCATGGCGAAGCTGTCTGGCCCAGAGTCAGGAAGTGGAGAACTGTGCATGGGCACATGTGTGCACGCCTATTTGGGGGTCATCGGGAGAACGCTGGCCCTGTTGGCCCTGCAGGTGGGCACTGTGGCAGGGCCAAGGCTGGCTGGGGAGAGGGAGAAAGCCGACACAAGGTCCCTCACCCCCTTCCCCGAGCTCCTCTTACAGTCATCAGACCCAGCCTCCCCGGTGGCGCAAGGGGTTAAAGCGCAGCACTATGAAGCTGTCCTCAGCCACTGCAGCACGAGTTCGATACCCGGCCCCAGAGGTGACCCACACGGCACGGCAGACTCTGCTGACCCGCCCGCTGCTCCCTTCAGCAGTGTACGAGATGGATCTGCCTGTTCTGCTCCCCGCTATCTCTGGTGAATCCTCTCACCCCACAGCCTCTAGCCTGTATCCCAGTTCTGTATGCATTAAAAAACAAATCTGTAAAAAAAAAAAAGGGAGCTGACACATAGGCCAAACCAAGCTCTCTGAGAACAAGGACTGGCACCTTCTTCACCCAATCTTCAGCCCTTTGAATTGGGCTGCACACAGACGTGCTCACTAGTGCCCTATGGCTGAGTGACCGAGTGCTCACTAGGTGGCCACGACTCCTCTCCCCGTGGTCCTGTGCACCCAGGAGGCAGTGCACTTAAGGGTCAGCATCAGCTGCCTCTGCCGCCCCAGTCCCGAATGATCCCAAAGGTCCCGGTCTCTGACAGAAGTGGCTGTGGCAACAGGCCGCCGAGGGCCATCAAACACACACCTGCCCCAGCAGACCACCTCATCCTGGCTGGACCAGCAGGCTGAGGCAGGAGCTGCCTCGGCATTCACCTTGGGGGGCCTTGCCCAGAGGTACGGTGGCAGGTGTGGGCCCAGGAAGCAGCTGTAGCTGCCCCCTCCTGTGCTCTGCCAGCTGCCCGCAGGGGCCTGCCCACCAGATGCATAATAGATGAGGAGGCCCAGCGGGCTGTGCCTGCCTGGCATTTCAAAGCCACTAATAAAGCCAGTCTCGCGCTTCCTGCAGCCACACCATGCCCGGGGCTGACGCTCAGCAGTTACAGCCTGGGACCACCTGAGCACAGGGCCCACCCAGGCCTGCTCAGCACACATGGCATCCAGAGAGGCTGTGCACTCAGGCTGCCCAGGCGGCTAGCGTGGCTCACCCTCATTCACTGTGTGCCCTGGGCCAGCCACATCACTCCTGCAGCCTCAGTTTCCTGAAAGTGGGGTCTCTGCTTGGTAACGCTGGTGTTAAGGACCAAAGGGAATAACTCAGGGGAAGGGCTCACTCCAAAGCCCGGGGACCCAGGAACTGCCTCCTGCGTGGGGACAACCAGTAGCATTCCGGTCAAGAGGAGCGATCTCGGGCCCTCCCTGGTGGCACAACAGGTTAAAGCGCAGCACTGTGAAGCCGCCTGCAGCCAGAGCAGCGCGAGTTCCATCCCCGGCCAGGGAGCTGACCCACGTGGCGCAGCAGACCTCTGCTGTCTCCCCACTGCTCCCCTCAGCAGTGTATTTCAGCCAGTCTGCCTGTTCTGCGCCCCACTCTGTCTCTGGTGAACCCTCTCACCCCCCACCCCCGCCAATTCTGGCCTGTACCCCAGCTCTTACTTGCATAAATAAACCGACCTTAAAAAAAAAGACGAGTGATCTCAGCAACAAGGTGGCCCTCCCAGTGGGACACAGGGGTGGGCATTGAGCCCTAACTCGGAGGTCTTCAGGGTCATCTCCCCCTCCCCACCCCCTTTCACCCCACTACCAGGACTGCTCTCTTTCCTTGTTCCCAACCATGGCCCCTCAAATCCAGCCTCCACCGCTGCATGACTTTGGCCAGGGCCTCGCTGTTCTCATTCTTGACTTGGCTTCTCAAATGCACGCTAAGGTCAACCTGGAGAACTCACGTGATGGCGACGAGACACCCTCCTCTCATGTCCGACACCACTGGCACTTTACCCTGTGGGTCCAGCCTCCTCCCACAGGCTCCCAGCGTTCGGTCAAGGATCCTCTCCAGGGCACCTCCTCCCTGGCCTGACTCCACCGAATCACTCCCCCACCCGGACACAGCCCCACCTGCTGCTGCCCCACAGTGAAAGTCCCTCTCAGCTGTGCAGCCCCTCTGCGGAGCCAGAGCCACTACCATCCTGCTGGCTCCGTGCCCTGACATTTGCACGCCAGCTCTGAGTTCCTCCCTGCAGGTAGCCAGCTGCAAGGAGCAGAGGTTGGGGACACCAGCCACGATCACTCTGTCCTCACTAGTCCTCACTGCTTCCCTGACCCAAACTCCAGTCTCTTAATCCTTTTCTTAAAAGGAGTGAGGGAAACCACACCTCCTCCAGGAAGCCCCCACACACCTACTTGACAAAATTTTACCCTCCGGACACATTCAATTCAACTCCACAAGCACTCACGAAGCATTTCATGGATTCAGGAAGCTGTGCAAGATGACGTGGAGGGCAGAGAAGAGGCAAGGCCGGACAAGCTTTTTATGAGTCATGTGCTGAAAGGTGGGCCCAAGTCAGCAACAAAAGTAACTCACGTGACCCCCGCTCATGCCACAGTCAACTCAACTGAGGCCAGCTCCCCAAACAGCCAACTCAGCAGGTCCTGCAGAGCCTCTAGTGGGCTCAGAGAGGGGAAGTGAGCCCCGGTCTCACTACCAGCAGGTGGCGGGGGGGGAGACCCCAGCCCTCTCCTCACAGACTCTGAGGGCCGAGCTCACCCTCTCCGGGAACAGCACTACTGCGTGCTCCAGCATGGAGAGGGGCAGGGAGGTGCCCCAAGGTGAGGAAGATGGGAAGTGAGGATCAGGGGGACAGCCTCAGCAGCCAGGACAAAGGTGGGCTTGTGGAGTGAGGATCAGGGGGACAGCCCCAGCAGCCATGACAAAGGTGGGCTTGTGCAGATGGGAGGGGAGGGTGCTGCGGGGGTGGGGCACGGTGGGCAGAGCAAGGAGGTGGTGTCCACTGGGGCTGGGGGTCAGAAATGCAGAGTGCAGGAGGAGCAGTCCCAGGTTAGAAAAGGAGGTGACGAGGGGCCTGAAGACCAAGAAATCACCATTCCAGTTAAGATGACCCCCATTTACTGGGCACCAGCCATGCCAGGCACAGGCTGGGGGTACACAACTGGCTTCTTGGGCTGTGAAGGGCGCGCCTGGACTTAGCACCTTGGACAGCAGCCGCAGGGAGGTGGGCGCAGGGCAAGGTATTCTGGGTAATGGGCACGTTGGGAGAACCCAGAGTCTTACTTTATAAGTGTGTCAACTGAGGCTCGGAGAAGGTAAGGGACTTGTCCAAAGTCATGCAGCCAGTTAGTTACTGGTAGGTCGGTAACGGGGTTCAGGGTTCTTAGAGGAGGCTTTTGGGTCACCCCTTTCACCTTCAAGTGTTCCCTCCAGTGCACCCTCACCTGGACCCTCCCTGTAGCCAGGAGACCCTGAAATAGAATGGGTGAGAGTCTGGACTCCACAGAGAATCTGGAGATGGAGGTTCCAAGCCTGCTCTGCCAGTGACTTGCTGTGTGACCTTGGGAGCTCTGCACCTTTGTTCTCTTCCGTCATCAGAGATAATAGTCCCTAACTCAGGGGTGCAGAGAGATGATGTGAGATGATTCAAGTCAAGCACCTAACAGTACCTGCTCACAGCAGGTGCGTGACAAGTGGCTGCTGTGATGTCATGATCGCTGGGCTCCTGGAAGGAAACGATGTCTCCCCGCTCCCCACCTCGGGCTTAGCACGTGGCCTTACAGGCAGCAGAGGCTCAGATGGACGGGGCAAAACAGCAGGAGATAAAGCCCAGAGACGGAGAGTAAGTGGCCTCATGTTGCACAGAGAGCATCAAAGAAAATAAAAGGGCAGGCCTGGCATGCAGCACCTGCCCCAGGTGGCACTTCCTGGGGCTCTGGCAGCAGATGAGGCACCAGTGCAAGAGAGGAGTTGTGCTACATCTGGGGGCACCACAGGGCCTCGGGACCCCGGGAGGCCCTCAGCAGGGGTGGGAAGCAGAAGCCAGAGCTGCCGGGGGTTCTCCTGCTGGAGCCCAGTGGCAGCAGGAACAGCCAGCCAAGTCCACGTGACACCGGGGCCAGGGAGCCTGAGAGGTGCCCTCCTGTTGGGTCACTGGGTGCTGGAAGTCCCGAGGTGAAGCTGCACCTCCACCTCCTGCTGCTCTGACACAAGTGCCTCCCCCCACCTCCCACAAAGACGGGGCAGCCCTAGGAAAAGGCCTGCACATGGAATGGGGTGAGAGTTTGGGGCCAGTGAAATGGCTAAGGGCACCCCCAGCCCAGGAGCCACCAGGACATGGGTAGAAACAGAGCAGAGATCGGGAAGGAGACCTTCAATGAGGGCCTGTTTTGGCTGTGTGTGTGTGTGAAACTATGCCAAACAGGGATTTGATCCCCATTTCACAGAGGAGACCGCTGAGTTTCAGCAACTGTGTGAATTGCCGACAGTCACAAGGGCTGAGTTGAGACTGAAAGGATCTGGGTGACTCCAAGGCTGAACTAGGACGATCGTGTGGGAAGGGGGAGGGGCAACCCTAGAAAGAGGGTTTGTCTGCCATCACCTGGAGAGGATATCTGAGGGGTTGGTGGGGTTGATGGGGCCTGGTCTGGCAATGGTTGGGAGCCAATGGTCTCCAAGGCCCAGCTGAGCCGCCCAGCCACCCGCCCCCGCCGCCCCGACACCTCAGTACTCACCACACACTCCGCCGAGGGGTGAAGGACTTGTCCACCCTGAAACACAGAAGAGGGACAGCAGATGAGGGGCCACCCCTTCTTACCTGGCCTTGCCAGCTCAGCAGGATGACTCCCACTGGCCCCCTCCCCCGCAGAGGGGCTGGGGGTGGTACCTTCTCCTGTCTGAAGTTCTGGTACCACCCGCCCTGGGCTGCAGGTGGGGGGGTCCTGATGTCAGACTGGGCACAAGGGAAGGAGTGGGACAGAGGGGTAAAGAGGAGAGGTAAGGGCTGGGAGCCCCGGGCTTGGGGAGTAGGGACACAGAGCACGCTATGGGGCAGCAGCAGGGTGGAGGGGGGGCAGGGAGAGGCCTGGAGACAGGTGAGGGGCACAGTGACCACAGCGGTCTAGACTCAGAGCCAGGAGAGGGTGCAGCAAGGCCCTGGTAAGAGTGTCCAGGGTCCTGGTGTTTGTGGTGGCACAAAGGGGAAGCCTCGGTCACTTCCTCAGCAGCTGCCCCGCTGGGAGCCAGAGCTCACTGAAATCCCCCTGGGAGACAGATGCATGGGAATTTGGGGGCAGAAGGTCTTTGAGGAGCTACCCACCCTCAAAGCAGAGCAGAGGGAGACCGCAAGCCTCTGGAGTCCAGGGGATACCTTCAGATATTGTCTCCCCCAAACCCCTCCAAGTCCAGCATCAGAAAATTAATTATGGGCATGTCCCTTCCCCCACGCTCCCCCCATCACCCTCTGAGGGCACCTTGGGCGCTCGGGGAAGGCTAGAAAGAGCTCTCTGCTGCCCAGCGGGGGGACGGTCTGGGGCAGCTGTTGGGACAACAAACAGTTATGGCCAGTAAAGAATGGAGAAGGGGCCCCAAACTGGACCAGGCCAGCTAGGGCACGTGTTTTGGGGAGCAGTTCTGGGGACTCCCAGGGATCAGTTAACAAGGAAGGTGGACTCTGCAGGTGGGGAAATGGGGTCTGAGCAGCCAGGACTTGCCCAAGGTCAACAGCAGCCCCAGCCCCACTGTCCCGGGCCACCTCTGGTGTCAGCTGCTGCAAACCTCAGGGCTCACCACGGGTCTTCTTGGGGCCTGAATTTGAGCAGAGCCCCGATGGGAGGGGTTGCCTTGCCAGCCCCTCCGCCAGGTACACTCTGAGGTTGAGCATCCAGAAAGAGGAGGCCCCTTGGACACCTCCTCCCCACAGCTTGAGAGCACTTCCTCTGTCCCAGTGCTCCACACCCCAACTCTGAGGCCCACATAGCCCCCCAATGCAGGATCACTGAAGATCAGGCCCCTCCTGGACCACCCGGGGAAGAGGTTCTGGCCCCAGTGTGTCAGCCTGGTCTTCCTTCCCACTGACCAAATCTACCCTGGGCAAGAATACCTGCACCCCACCTCTGCACCCCTCTGAGGTGGGCACTTAGGATTGGGGAGGGGGGAGGTGACTGGCCTCAGAATGGCCCAGCCACCTTCTCTGACCCCCCAGGAGGTCCCCAGACCCACAAAGAAGGTGATTTCTGAGAGCCAGGCGCCCAGAGGTCAGGTGGGGGACCTGCTTCCAGATCCCCGTCTTTCGAAGTCTCACTGCAGGGAACAGCAGCTTTAGAGACCAGGTGGGGGTCCCTGCCCGACCCCCCCACCTACCCTGCTGCCCACCATCCTCCAAAGCTGACACCAACCAGAAGTGCCTGTCACCGCCGGTCACTTTCAGCAGCAGGTCACTCAGCACAACCACAGAAGTGCCCACCCTGCCCTTTCACGACCTCACACGTGCGCACAGACTCCCACCCAGAACACACGCAGGGACACACACCACACGTGCAAATTCGCAGACTCACTGCAGAACCAGCCAGAGCCCAGGCGGGACGGCCGGGCGCGCACCTACCCTCCATAGGCCCCGAAGGTGAAGCTGCGCTTGCGGCCGCTCATGGTGCAGCGCCTGCCGCCCGGCGCGCCGAGCTGGAGCCGCCTTCCCAGTGCCCGGGTCACCTTGGCAACCCAGGCCGCCCGCCCGGGCCACAAGCCCCGGGATTGTCCGCGCCGCGGCGGGCGCCAGTCCAGCTGCCGGGGGCAGCAGCGCAGAAAGGGCCGCTTGTTCGCGCCGCCCTCGGCGGACCCGGCCAGCGGGGGCTTCGCTGGACTTTCCGAGCTGGGGGGAAGGGGGTGTCGGGCGGGGCCTGAGGGCGGGGGAGGAGGCGCGGAAGGGGAGGGGAGGGACTCAGACCCTCCCCATCCCCAGGCCGGGCGGGGATTCCGGCGGTGGACCCTCCTTGGGGAGCCACTTCCTTCCACCACCACCTTCCCACCCCGCCCCCACAGCTCCGGAGGTGAGCCTGGCGCACCCCAGCAGGAGGGAGGGGCTCGCTGGGCTCCGGGTCGCGAGCTTGGAACCCGGAGTCAGAACGAGTCAGAAGGTCTCACCCAGGGCAAACCCCAGCCCTCCGCTAGCCTCCAGATTCTCATCCCGAAGCGGGATAGGCCACAGGCCTCGGCCCTGTTGGTGATGCCCACAGTGGGCAGGTAAAGTGCTCAGTCCAGCACGAGGCCCAGCAGCGCCCACTCAGTGCCACGGGCCAGCCCCAGGCCGGGCACAAGCTCTGCTCTTCAGGCAAGTGACTGACTGAAGGAAGCCGCAGCCTCCAACGACCCTTTTACCGCCCCTCTTCCAAAAGCCCCCCACTCCACTGTGGGAGCCAGGAGGAACAGCAACGGGAGGGTGTGGAGAGCACCGCCTTGCTGACATTACTCCGCCGGTTCCCTCCCTGGGCAACTCCACAGGGGCCCCACTCTGAGTCCGGTGCCTGCCTCACTCAACAGCCTCTTTAGATGTCGGGTCTGCACGGGGCTCACCCAGAGCTCACAGTGCAAGGCTTCACCCTCAGAGAGCTGCCTCCCCGCGTGCCATCTGCCGGGTGGCAAGGGACGCTGGCCCCCCGCGCCCCCCCACTCATGGCAACGTCTGCTTGCCCCCCAAGAGGACTAGTCCCCCTCCTCCTGCACCCTGGGAGGCCCCCAGTCTCAAGGTTTTCCACAGCACTTTGTGCTTCAAGCGTTTGCAGAAACACAGCGTGGGGACAAGGAAGGACGGCCAGGGGCACAGGAGCGGGGCGGCGGGAGGCCTCGGAGTCTTCCAGGAGCTGCTCCACCTGGGCTCTGGGCCAGGCTGGGTTGGCTGCATCTTCCCTGGGAACTACCTGGTGTGGGTACAGCTTCTCCTCATCCAGACTGGGGAGAAGGCGCAGAGGTCTCCCAGTTTCAGACGTGGAGAAACTGAGTTTGAAGCCCAGCAATTGCTTCTCTTAGGGGGTCTTGGGCCGCCCCCACCCCACCTCACACCCCCCCCCCCGCCTGCTCTGCTCCGGTCCTTTTCCTTACACACACAGGTGGGTGGAGGCGCCTTCCAGAGCAGCCGGCAGAGTGCACAGCCTGGAAGGGCCCCCAGCTCCTGGAATAACCCCCTTCCTTAGCTTGTCAGAGGAGGCTCTGGCTCCCTGGGCAGGGGGTTCTAGGCAGAGCACAGATTCCTGGGTGGGGGCACCAGCCAAGGGCAGCCTGGCATGGTGCCTGGGGCAGGCCGAGTTGGTCTGATGAGGGAGGATGTCCTTCCTTCCTGAGCACTGGCCACAGCAGGGGCTTCCAGGGCTGAAGGCGGGAAGGCCGAGAGCTGGGCCTGGGGTGCACAGTGCTGGCACCCAGGACTACGGTCCCTCTGGGATCCTGCACTCCCTCAGACATGAGCCTCAGCCTGGCTGGTCAGTCCTTCCAGCGGGAAGCACTTCTGAGTGGGCTTTGCATGTCCACTTGGCAGAGTGGCCAAGGGGCCTCCAACGTGCCAAGTTCTCCAGCCGGGTCCGGCCCCTGGGAGGCCCTGCTGGTGCAGGGACAGTGGGCCCTTGAGAGGGGCAGTGGGGGCTGCAGGATTCCCACCGAAGACAAAGAGCCCAGTGTGGGCTCCAGCTTCTTGGGCTCTGACCAGCTGCAGCTGCTTCACTGGCAAGATCTGGGGGTGGGGTGGGGGTAGGGAGCACATTCCCTCAGCCAGGGGTGCCCAGGGCAGACTCGGGCAGCAGCAGAATTGAATGCGCCTACCTAGCCAGCAGGCCACTTCCAAGAATGCACCCTCAACACTGCGGCCTGAAGGCGTGGCAAGAGTGGGCCAGACCTGTGAGGGCTCAAGTCCCAGTGCTCCTGCCAGCTGTGTAAGCCCAGGCAAGCCAGTCCTCTTTCAGTGCCTCAGTTTCTTCATCTGCAAAATGGGGCTGATGATGAAAATCATGGGGCCTCCTTTGAAGGGTTTCGCGAGGATTAAAAAAGTTAATATTGGGCCTCTCCCTGGTGGCGTAGCGGGTTAAAGCAGAGCGCAAAGAAGCTAAAGCCACTGCAGCATGAGTTAGATCCCCGCCTGCCCCGGAGGTGACCACATGGCGCGGCAGACCTCTCCTGACCTGCCCGCTGCTCCCCTCAGCAGTGAACTTCGCGTCGATCTGCCTGTTCTGCTCCCCGTCTGTCTCTGGTGAATCCTCTCACCTTCGGCATCTCTGGCCTGTACCCCATTTCTGTATGAATAAATAAATAAATCTAAAAAAAAAGTTAATATTTACAGAGCATTGAAAACAGCACTGGAATAGCGAGTATCTGTTAAATAAAACATTTGCTGCAGCATCGTGTGTAGTAGGCTGAACTGCATGCAATCACCATTTTGGTAGAGTTAGCAAAAATTTATTATCCAAAACAAACTAATGGCCATCCAGAGGAAACAAGATAAATAAATTAATGTACGCCATGTACACCACGCAGTACCACACAGCTGCTGGAAAGGACGGGGCACATCTATGCGGGCGTGTGGAACAGTCACCGGGACAGACAGACAAACCGCAGGCAGTGTCGTAAGGACGGAGGTGCCGGCCAGGCACTTCCTACTGTGTGCCCTGAAACACCATTCCACACCCCTCCCCGACCCCTGGCCTCCACTGGTTAGGGAGGCGTTGCTTTCAAGCAGCAGACAGTGGGTGCTGGTGGCCTGGTTCTAGAAAGTCATTGCCACTTTGGGGTGGGGTAGTGCTCCCTTCTTCCTTACCCTCCAGCCTCTTCCCTAAAAACCTGAACCAGGCTATCCTCTGGGTCCAGGCTCTCCCCTTCCAGGCCTCCTAGATCTGCAGCTAGTTTGTTCACACAGATGCCAGACTGTGCAGCGGAGAGGGAGGGTGCAGGGGTGGACAGTGGTCCTTCCCAAGTTCACCCTGGGTTAAACTCCTGGAGTTCCACCCACCTGCCGGCAGCAACCCCTTCCCAACCCTCTTCAGGGAAATATACAGGCAGAAGGAGAGGCAGACTGGGAAGATCTCGGGCCTGGGCACCAGAGAAGGTGGAGAGGGTCAACTCCAGCCAGAACCCCAGAGATGTCTCCTGGGTAGGTGGGCTCCGGCCTGGCCTGTAGGACCCCGCAGGCCTGGGTTGATCAGTTTTCGTCCCTGGACATCAGTTTGTTCTTCTGTTAGACACTCTGCTGGGACAGTGCCATAAAGCAACGTCACCCTAACAATCAGTCAATCCATGGAGAATACGGCATGGAAAAGCAAAACACTAGATACCACCTCATGACTGTAGAGGAAAAGAATAGCAACCACAATTCAAAAAAAATTAATGGAACAACATATTTGCCTCAAGAGAACTCCATGTGCTCAAAGCATCATCATCCCCAGCCAAGCCACACCCAGCCAAACCCAAGATGCTACCAACCCTGAGCTCCTGGAGGGAGACTCCAGGGGCCTTCCTCAGGTCCTGAGAAGGAAGGGGGGGGTGGCTTGGCTCACACCCTCACCCCAAGTAGCTGTCCAGTGAGATTTCTGCCACAGACATTCCCCACCCTGGGTCTGAGATCTCCTTCAGCGCGGTCCAGAGGCCCTGCCTAGTCAGTGTCCCCCATCAGAGACCAGAGCAACCTGGGCAGGCCAGAGTGGACAGAGCAAATGTGCTCAGTCAGGCCGCCCATCTCGGGATGTTTCTGCTCACCATATGAGCCATACATATATTTTTAAAGGTTTATTTATTCACACAAACAAAACTAGGGTACAGGCCAGAGGTACAGGGACTCACCAGAGACAGAGTGGGGAGCAGAACAGGCAATCTACTGAAATGCATTGCTGAGGGGAGCAGTAGGTGAGACAGGAGAAGTCTGCTGCACCCTGTTGGTCAGTTCCCTGGCTGCAGTGGCTGATGATAGCTTCATAGTGCTGGGACTTAGCCCCTTGCACCACCAAGAAGGCCTGAACCACATGTTTTGAGGATCCCTAGGAGCAAATCCCCCTGGAGACACAGAAACAAAAGCGCATTTCTTTTTTCCTTCCTTCAATCACTCAAATATATATATTCAATCACAGCAAATCTATATATCAAGCTTCAGGCACAGCAACAGCACAGGACAAGTCAGGTCTTAAGTGAGCCTGCACGCACACCGGCACGTGGCTTCCCAGGTGACACCTGCACTTGTCCTGTCCTGTGCACAGAGGCACTGACATCTAACATGTACCTACAGATCAAATGTACCTACAAACTCGAAGGCCTCAGACATGCTCACAGCGCCACACGTCAGCCCCTACAAAGGTCAAATAAAGCTCACACCCACAGGTCTCAAATCCACATGTGCTCACCTGACGACAGTGGCTGGGTTTGTACACGCATGTGAACACACACCAGCAACAGCAGGTCCTGGCACTGAAATCACACCCCGATGTGATCCAACAGGCTGACCGAACCCTGTACCATGGAAACCACACTGCGCACAGAGGATATAGACACGTGAACACACGTCACCTGCATGCCTACATGTGCACACACACGGAACGCCCAGCTGACTGCTGGGGAGAAACTAAGAGAGAAGGGAGGACGGCTCTTTGGGGGTTGAGAGCTGTGTCCCCAAAGA